TTTGGTCTCCCGTTTAATTGCTCCCCACACATAATAATCAAGGGGTTGAGTCTAAGGAGTTAGGTGGTCAGTGAACTTCTGTATAATGACTACCATCTTATATCCAGTGAAGGCTAGAAATTCCTCACAAATGAAACGGATACTCTAAGCCAAAATGAGGCGATTCCACAGAATACAAGGACTGGGGGCCACTCCCAATCCAAAAACAACATCCTTGATAATGGCTATCGAACTAAACGAAATCGCTCGAAATAATTATAATTATGGACAATTCCTTTATTCTTTAACCCCTGAAAAACAAAAAAAAATGTTAAAAATGCTGAAGAAAACTAAATAAAAGATTAATTGAATCTTCCTTGACGGCCGATTTCAATGAAAGATGCATGAAAGAAAAATTGCTACCCATTCATACATTGGATAAAGTTGTTAGATCCAGTGACTGGACCCAAAGTGTGTGAGTTCAATACCCGGTTAAGGCAGTGGAGAACTTGGAAAGGGGAATTAACAAGAGATAACTGACAAATGACATCCATTAAACATGGCACGTGGAACTAGAACAGTCTACCCCAGTGAGCGAAAGAAAGGGTTCACTTCCACATTCTTGCGACCTGATGAAGGCCGGAGCGTATAACGGCCGAACCTTTGTAATGAATATGGCGACAAAGATGAGGACAATAGTCCGAATAATGTAAATAGTGTAATGTTTATTGCTTAAGTCAATATATTTTTTGTAAAAACTATTTTTAGGATTAAAAATTTGCAAAGAATTATTTTTATGCTAAAGTAGATAAACTTGAAACAAGGAAATTGATATTTAGCTCTCCAGAGGTTGAAAGTCTTATAAAGAATGTCATGAAGTATAATTTATTTAATAAGACTTTCAACCTCTAGGATGTTAGTAATTAATTTCTGTGTTTAAAAACGGATAGTGACGTCTATTTAAGACATATGCCCAATAAATAATAGTTCATGTTCATACGAACACTCATCCATTCACACACACATTTATAGACATTCATATTCATACGAATACTTACATATGGACACACAGAGGCGAAAATGATTCTACCCTTTCTAAAGATATTAGGACTAAATTAAATGTCCCTACAAAATTTAGAAATTTTGTCTGTAATTCCTTAATCATTTCCGCAAATGGTTACACGTACAGTCGTTGTGTTAACATTACGGGGACGTGTTTTATCTTCCTCTAATGTCGGGAGACAATAATTGTTTTCTCTTCGATTGTCTGTTGGTTACGTGTGTATTCAGCCCTTTTCAAAAGACTGGTTTTTAGGATTTCTTTTACTTTTTTCGCTGAAAGCTTAACATCTTCCCAATTTCATGAAGCCCACAGACGCGGAGAACGGACATTGCATTTTGTTGAGCGGGAAAAGTGACCTTGAGTCTCAAACTTCGGCGAGGGACTTTATTTTCACCTTGTCAAGAAAGGTTTGTGTTTACCTTTTTTGTACCTTCAGTTCAGACATGCTATAAATGTGTCACCTTCACAGCAGCATATGATCACATTCATTAGAAACCGCCTTCCAAATCCAATGACTGTATCAATAGAGGAAATAAGGGCCCACAAAAAAACCGATACAGAGACATTTCAAACCTCATCAGTACGACAAGGAGGAAATGAAAGCCCCGGTCTATTTTTAGTCTTTATCTAGACTGCGAATTTATAAAATCTAATGTGAACAGATGGCCACTGAACATTTGTGCATTGCCTCAGTCTGTTATGTGCCATGCATGATACACGCTTAGACGATCATGTATCTTTCGATAGATGACTGACGCAGTGGGTTACCACTTCTTTCTGCGGTAAACCAATTGCCAACCAATGCTATATAACACTGTCTATCCTAGCTAGGGGGAGAAGAAGAGGATTCATACCTTTCCCAAGAGTATTAACAAGTATATGAATGTAATATATTCGAGCGGAACTCGGCTCTCCGATTCCTCAATCCGAGCCGCTATCCAATACCTCCACCAATAGATATACTGATGCTAATATTAGTATCTGATGATCGGGAAATATCTTTCCTAGAACCAGATTGTCGGTAAATTATAACTAGCAAATAAAATGATACTAATAAGAGCTTTCTGCATGAATGAAAACAACAATGACGAAATTAATAAGTTACTTCATAGAAAAGGATGTCCAACTCAACTCATCTCCGATTCTCAACTCTATCTCTTACAAGATGTTAAATGAAACGAATCTCAACACAAAAAGCACAAGGAAATAATTGCCTAAGGCACGTCCTTTATCAATCTCTTTCATTCTTATCTCAAATTTCGTTTGTTCCCTAACAGCCGAACTGATTACATTAAAACAAAATACACAAAAATGGCGCAGGAAATGGCAGGTTCAGTTAATCAACACATGAGATATTTTTTGTGAACTTCAATTCTTTTGTCATTGTCTTCGGGGATATGTTAATGAAATGAAGATCTCCAAATGTGTTTAAAGTTAATTGCAAATTTAATTTATGATGTGTTTGCTAGATTTTCTGAGTTGACCCACCAACAAATATTTTCTTGCTAAAACACCCTTATCTGCATCCACTTACCATTCGCATGTGAATGCCTTTCATCGTAAATCTTGCTTCAAGCTTTGTGGTAAGTTCCTCAATAGAGAATGAGATTTATGGATATGTATTTAATTAAAGACAGCAGAAGACAAATAATGTCGTAATATGTTTGTTAACATTTTTGCCATTCAGATTAAGATTAAAAAAAAACCCTATGCCAAAATGTAAATGGCAGGAATTTTTTAAAAGTGAACAAACATCTATATTGTTCGTTTTTTTTTTTTTTTTTTTACGGCTTGTCAAACTTTTGGATTTTTTCTACCATTCGAGACAGGCCGCTGCTTCTTCCACGGAATTTTGTTCCCCTCATTTCCTCTACATTTGTAATTTAAGAAGGATATTTCACTCAGAGAGCTACTGGGTGTAACATCAAAATTCTCCAAATCGTGCAACAGCATCATTATCTATCCCGCAAAATGTTTATTATCTAAGAAAACACTAAACTAATGGAGTTAGTTTTTTACCGGGTTTCTAGATAAAACGTTTACTTAACATCGAGTACTGTTTTTCTTACCCTATAGAGTATTTCCATGTATTTGTGTACGACCGACTGCTCGCTCGTATACAGACCTATATTTGCCGCACACATATGATATATATAATAATCAAGATAAAATAATCACGGGTTTCGTAGCACATGTGATATGTAGGGGTACCACATGTAAACGGTATGTCTTGGCTAAGATAGTCTGATGGAGCAAGGTATGTTCGATCTGAATTCAGAGTTTTCCTTCTCCTAAAATGGTTGGCATCGAATCTGCCTTGATTTTTACCCATTTAATATGAGTGAAAAGAGATAAATCCATATTTTTCCCAAGGCTATTTTGCGTAAGTAAATTTGACGCACTCTATTAGAATTCGAACTCATCTCACTGATTTCTCATTCTGAACCGCTATCCATTGCACCATCGTGCATCCTTATGCACCAGGTGCAACAGCAATATTGTCTAGATCGTGTTACAGCATAATTGTCCATCCCACAAAATGTTTAAAAATTTAAAAAAAAAAACAAAACAGTTTCTTTTTCCGGGTGTTAAGACGTTTAGCCATCTTCATATCATGTGTCGTAAGAATCACTGAAAAAACTCTTTGAGTTATTCAGCTAGAAAGAGAACCGGTTAAAATCCTTTTGTGTCAGCCCCACTCTCTTCCCAACTGATCAATGGTGAGAGCAGAAAGACCATTCAGGCCTTCAGTAATGGTACCAACATTCTTGCTCTGGCTTCTATCTCCAATGTCCATTCAAGAACCATCAAGAGAACGATGAGCAAGTTTAAAAAGAGTGAGCAGCAGAGGAAAACTGGATCAGGAAGTCACAACAGCAAGAGGGATTATCATTTTAATGTAGTGATAAAGAGATCAGTTAGAAAAGATCCAACTCAATTCATAAGACGTTTGTCACGTGAGAGAAGAGCCTCAGTTATGACAGTCCAAAGAGTAGTGAAAAAAAGACTTGAAAAGGAAATCGTACGTGGAATCTGTGAGGCAGCTTGTTACACAAGGAGAGAAAGAAGTTTAGAGAGGGCAAATATCAATTGGAAAATGATCCTCAGATAATATATATATATATATATATATATATATATTTGAAATGTATTTCAATCCTTCATAAGCTTCCGATCCTTAGCTATGATTAATTGAAGATGAACATGTCATTTTCGTTTATGATCGATTTCATCACAATACTTCTGTTATATTTGGAAAGTAATTATATATTCTTATTGCTCAATTAGAGTCACATAGTGTTTAAAAAAAATTCGGAAAATTCCAATAACATATTTTAATTATTTCTAAGTTACAACAGCTGAAAGCTTCATCTAACAAATGGAAAATTTGACTTTTACATGCTTTGGGCAATTTTACTATTTCAACCGATATTTTACAAAAACTGCTAATTCGACGAATATACCCCCGCGTGGATGCTCCCCTGAATAGTACAGTCTTAACTTCTTCAAATTAAGAATTATCATAATAATTAGCTCTTATATTTCTCCTTTCATACACCTCATTCAATATAATCACTTTAGCAGTAACCCTTAAGATTGAGTGGCTCCCTAAGCTGATATTTAATATAAAAAAGACACTTGCCACCAACGTTATCTAAAGGGAGAGTCGCTGAATCTTTTCATGTTCTCAGTTCTACCAGGTTTTAAATTGAGATTGATTGTTTTGTGTTTTACGGTTTATCAACCTTTTGCGTGGTATCTAAAGCCAGAAAATATTTGGGGGTAATATTGACTTACTGATACAAGTTTTACTAATTAACCCATAGTCTGGGGAGAAGAGGTGGATACATATATATATATATATGAATATAACGAACCCGAGTGGAATTCCGACTCGGCTCTTCGGTTTCTAACTCCGGACCGTTATCCATTAGACCACCGGCAAATCCAATGCTAACTGCGCCTGGTATTCCCAAGAGGTCACCGATCTAGGCACTGACTAGGCTCGATGTTGCTTAACTTCAGTGATCGTACGAGAACCGGCGATAAGCAACTAAAATAACTATAATAATATCTTTTTATTATTAATGTATTTGTTACTTCAAAGGTCAACGTAAGTAAAGACTGAAGTACATAAGGAATGAACTGACCGTTTGTTATACTGGTACATACCTATTCTATTGTTAATACACTCTCCCACCTATAATAAGTAGCAGTCGCCAGTCACTTAGTAAGTTGGTCAGTCAGTCGATGCCGGACGACCGTTAGTCGGATATTAAAGTATCAGCGACCACAACTAGATTTCTCTGCGTCATTAACTATTATATCAAGTCCCTAACGTTTTGCACGTCGAACCTTTTTAGGACCGACTTAGTGAAATACAAGCCTCCACTGTGAAACTACTCTATATCACCGTTACACTTTTTTTTTCTTAAGAAGCAAATCCTTCTTTAGCAATTGCATCTAAAGGAACACCATCAACGATGCCCGTGTGGCTGAAGCAACTCAGAGAATGAAAAAGAGAGAACATATTAATTAAACAAATAATTAAAAATAAGTTATTGTACTCGGTGCACTTGTTGTGATGCAGTGGATATCGGTTCGGAATAAGAAATCGGAGAACCAAGTTCGAATTCCACTCGAGTTCGTTGCAGTCACTTACGCGTAAATACCCATGGGAAAGGCATAATTGGCTCTCTACTTCGCCCAGCTATGGGCTGAATAGCAGGGGAGACTGGGTTCTATACCCCTGGTTGGTAACCAGTCTGCTTCAAACAAAAGTGGCAACCTACTACGGGAAAACCTCTGCCTAGTCAATCATGGATCGAAAAGACATGATCACCCAAGCGTACATCATGTATGGCAATTGACTGGCCGACACTGTATTAAATAATGCTACAAATTCTTTTAGTTCAGTTATGCTGAAATGTCTTTTTCTTTTTAATAACCCTAACCTGCAAGGTTTTAGTAGCCATTTAATTAAACTCAGTACTAATTATTACGAAAGAATAGCCGGTCAAAATCCGAAATTGCTGATACAAAAATCGTGTAATTAACAAAGAAAGAACATACCATCATGCACTTAATATATCAGTAACTAATAACACTGAGATATAGGAAAATGAGTGCGGTGACAAATAGAAGGCAAGACAAAAAATAACGGCAGTGGAAGGAGATCAGATTGACAGCAAGGCTGCAGGAGCAGCAGAGTAAGCAAAACGAATATTTAGTTTAAGACTCCTTAAATTCTAGGTTCAGGATTGTACCGTAGGACAATAGTCTAAAGACTCAAATCATTGGATATTAAATTTAGTCACATTTAAATTGTGAGTTAAGTCGATGGGATGGTTATTATGGATATAATCAGTCCTTAATCTGGATGGTACGCATATATGAAAAATTAGTAAAAACCGGAGTAGATATAACACAATGATTAACCAAGTAAGATATTACCTGGCGATGTACAACGGAATTGGAACAGAACACCCTGGAGATAGAATGTGGACTTCTGTTCGAAATTCGCTGAAAGTTACCTTGAACGGCAAACAACAGCTAAGGCTGGAGAATACAAAGCCTAAACAGTTTTTGATCGCAACAACTAAGTTTTAATAATGAAAACCAGTTATCCTAGAAAGTGAAACAAAAATAGGAAAAGATCTGACCCTACAATTTTTATTTAACTTCTACATATGATAAACCTGCTTTGTATGGAAGAGGCAATACTCGGCTGATATTTTTATAACTATATGTCAAGAGGTGATGCTTGTTCTGATAAGATTTCTTCGTTAAATTTATCGTATTTTCTGAGTTAGATAAATAAATGACACATTTGATCCCACTGATTCTTTTTTAGTGTTTTTCCCCATCATCATTTTGTTTTAATCCCTTTTGTTTTATCTTTAAATGATTGTATTTCTCAGCAGCCGGCAAATAATTGTTTTCGACCTCTTGATTCCTATTTGGGGAAAGGGTCACGTAGCTGGCATTGCGTTTATAACTACTCCTTCAAATGTGTGTTTTGGTTTTAAAATAGGAAAACGCGGAGTTGATATTAACCATCATTTTCTTCACTTTTTCGACATTGAGATGACAGGAATGGGAAAGGCCATCCATTGTAAATACGTAATAAATTTTACAATCGTTCGTGTGTAAAAGTCAGTTGAATGAATGCGGTATTTCGACGATTGAGAATAATGAAGAATAACGAACGCTGGCGAAAACGACGAAGCAATGTGAGATTTTGATGAAAAAAAAAAACTCCGTAAGTTTAGGATGACGTAAGCACGTTGGAGTAATAGATAGCGGCTCGAGTTGAGGAATCGGAGAGTAGAGTTCGAATTCCAGTTGAATCTATTACATTTACTTACGTGCTAATAACCTTGGGAAATGTATGAATCGTCTTCTTCTCCAACCCCACCAGCTCTGGGTACATAGCAGGACAGACCGAGTTATATACCCTTGGATGGCAACTGGTTTACCGCAGAAAGATATGACAACATACTGCCAGAAAAAAATCTGCCTAGTCAATCATGTACGAAAGATAGATGATCGCCTAAGCGTGTATCACGCATTGTACATAACTGTACTAGGGCCAGCATCCGATTTTCCATCCTAATGTAAAGATAAAAAGAAATATATTAAAATGTTTTCTACATAACCGATAAAGGTATCAGATCTTGATAATACCAACACCATTATTGATTATCTAATATCTTTGAACTGGTCTATTACTGGTCTGTCTACAATATGACAGTGAGAGCACAGATCAAGTAAAACCAAATCATGTTCCTTTCTTTTTGGCTTCATTTCAAACAGGATCTTTTACTTTAATCAAAGCGATAACTAAAAGCTCAAAATTTCTATCCATCTCTCGAAATTTCTAAAGTAAAATTTCTATTCACCCCCTCTACCCAAATTCTGATGGATCATATTTTAGGTCGTGGATCGGGCGGATAACATTTTATACAATTGTTCACTTAATACAAGGTTCGAGAACAACTCAAAGTAGAGCACTATGAAATTAAGTTGTTGTAAGAAGGTAAACAGAATAAGTGTATATTTTGGCGATATAAAATCAAATTTTCCCCGTTTCAGTTCTGGGGAAGAAGCCGGCTGAGTAGAACTACATCTTAAAGAAGGGAATTCGAAGGGGACGACGAGGAGTCTTTTTAAGTGTTAATGCGCGTCCTAATTGTGAAGTTCTAAACTGGTGGAACTAATGAATGTATCCCGTGTGGTCATTATCCATGACAAATAAACAATAAAGAAGCGAGACGGTAGAAAACTTTCGCCTGGAAGAAAGTTGTTGTTGGGCGGAAACCAATTCTTCATTTACAAGGGTGCGTAAACAACATTGAAATTTCTACACCAAGCTCATGTTTTTTTTTATGTTCCCACACAGGTAAGTTTAAACATGTAAGCCAATTATATGCCTCCGATAAGAGCGAAACTATTTTTTCATGAGCCCAGCGGATACATGGAACGCCTACGAAGCTGAAATAATTCGTAAATCTCTCTGTAATGGAGAACCGAATAACAACGGTAAGAATCAGTACTTAGATGTTCTCCGAAATGAGCCGTCATAATATTCGAATGAAAACACGAATACAATTTGTAAGGAGGAACGATAGTGAGAAAAGAAAATCGACTTTTTATTTAAAGCTTAAATTTAATCTTAACTTTCAAAAGCGCCATCAAGACTGTATATAAATTTTGATACATTACAGATTAAATATCTTCATTTTTTTTATCTTTTAGATGCCCACAGATGAAATGTTGGCAGCCATTTACAATTGTGTCGCTCTTTCGATGGAAAAGTTTCAAATACACTACATACCTAATTTATCCCAACTCTAACTCTGTTAAAACCTGCCTCGCCGTGTATTTAAGGCGAACCACTCCCATTCTCTTCGTATTCCTTTAGTAAGGATTAAGTTCCACTCGGATAACTTCTTCCCAAGAACTGATGTTTGTGGAACCGACATCCCTGTGGAGTTTTTCCTACCATTAAAATCTTAGCCTATTCATGTTTATGGTTAACCGCAAACTTTCCCACATATACAAATAAACTGCGCCCTTTACTCTTAACGTTTTCGCAAAAACTATCTTAAATGACCATCCACCATGAGTGGACTTTTGCCTTGGATTGTCTGAACGTTAATAAAAATTAATTAATAGAAAAAAATGTTTATGCTAATATTAGCCGTTTTCTTATAATGAAATAGTCGGCATTTATAGACAGAGCAGCTTCTCGATTGAAATTGATCAAATATTTCTCTTAAAATCACTTTTCAAAAAAGTAAATTTCTCAAAGTCCAGTAGCTGCTATCGCTCTTTCCAGTATTGACGGAGCTGTCTTCCCTAACATTTGATTCGATCTAGTGTCGAATGTCAACATCTTGAGTACGTCATTATTTTCTGTTCAAGTTGCACCTGATATCGATTTTCGCAGTTGCAGCTGTTGAATGTCCTGAACGTATCTTGCATCTCTTATTTGGGATAATTCTTTGTTTGTGATACTGTAGCGCCAGCCCACGATGTCCGAAGAAGGATAGTCTTCGCAAAGATTCACAGGCTTCACTCACTCAAAGCCATTGTTAACCATTTGTCCGAGAAAGCGGTTGTACACAGCAGACAGTTCAGATATTTCTGAACGGTTTTGGCGCCATGAATTGACATCCATACCAAATTATCGATATAGCGAGGCTATTAAAGAACAAGTTTTCAGGTTAATGTTTTGGTTTTGTAGAAATTTAAGCTTATGTGTTGGGCTGCCAAATTCAAAGCGAAAGGCATAAGTGCTTTTGACTTGGAATTTAATTAAATTCAGAAGCCAAGAGATATTGATAACGTTTCAATGCATAGACAATGAAATATTTATAAGATTGCCATTCGACCTTTCTTTGAATACTGCTGCCAAATCTGATCTGGTGTTCCTGCTATATATTTAGAGATTCTTGACAAAAAATACAAAACAAAAAAACAACAAAAAAAACAAAAAATCAAAGAAGAATCTGCAATGTTATTGGTCCTAGCATCTCGGTTTCAG